ATTGCAGTCCAATGATTATTACATTGATGGTGAGGCATCTAGTCCAAGTCAATCGGTATTAGTTTGCCGACAGAACCAAGCACTTCCCTGCTCAAAAACATGGGTTTTGATGAATGAAGATGAATTTGTTGTTTTGAATAATAAAGCCATTTTTGTAAATTCTTCTGCACGATTCTACAACAGTTCGGAATACGTCTGGCAAAACCGAAGTCTCTTTATCTGCGAGAACTATGATGAGTCCACTAGCAAGAATGATCATGTCTTGATTATTTTAACTGATGTGTGCATGTCAATATCGATTATTGCACTGGTCTTTGTCCTCGTCACCTATTCCTTGTTCGCTGAGCTAAGAACAAATCCAAGTATTAACCTCATGAACCTCAGCATTGCGATTCTTCTTGCACAATTTTTATGGCTTATTGGCAGTGAACAGACGAACACGCCCATGGCTTGTACTGCCATCGCTGTTCTTCTTCACTACTTTTTCCTGGTTTCTTTCATGTGGACGTCCATCATCGCCTTTGACACTTGGAGGGCCTTCACTGCAAAAGGAAGACGTTCCATGGCTGACTCAAAGCGCAAAAGACTGCTCCATGCCCTACGATATATGGCTGTTGGTTGGCTGTCTGCCATGGTGTACGTTGCAATCTGTGTTGCTCTTGACCTGACCAATACAGTAAGCATTGGGTACCAATCTAGCAAAGTATGCTGGATGTCTAACAAAATGGCTGTATTGTATATCTTTACTGCTCCTGTATCTTTGATCCTAGCATTTAACTTCGTGATGTACATCTTGACGATGAAAGCAATAAATGTCACCACAGCTCAAGCACGAGCCGCAGCAGATCACGAGAATCGTAAGAACTTGTTTTTCATTTACATACGTATCGCATCCGCCATGGGCTTTACATGGATTCTGGGTTTCATTGCTCCGTTTAAAATGGATTTCCTGTGGTATCCTTTCGTGGTATTGAACGGTCTTCAGGGCCTATACATAGCACTGGCCTTTGGTTTGAACCAACGAGCTAGAAGATTATGGAAAATGTTATTTGGAGCGGTTACAATGACAAATAAAAACAACTGTTCGGCCATAACGACCAGCAATCATGGTATTACCTCTTCGTCCATTGTAGCTGAAACAAGACTCTAATAGCCTCTGCGTCTGCAATGATCTCTGATATATTGCAGTGAGCCATGTTTCCGGGAGATATTGATCTCCTAGGTGACACCCAAAAACTCAAGAAATTTCTTTATTCGCTTACAACGTTCTAAAACTTTAACAAATAAATACATTCTACTGTTCACAAATAATTGCAATTTTCAAGGCATGCTGGATGTCCAATCCGTAGTGGGCTGTTYYGTTTTTCTTTGYAAATTCCTGTCGGAATAATTTTGTTGTCCAATTTTATCATGCATTTTCTAACAATGAGAGCGATAAAAACCACTAGCTCCCAASCASGAGCYGCTACGGATCAMAAAAAGAACACGTTTGGTATTATTTACGTGCGCATCGCATCAGCCWTGGGTTTTACKTGRCTCATTGGRTTYATTGCTMCTTTTGAAGGAAAMGYCTTGTGGTATTTGTTTACTATTTGCAATAATTCTGATTCGCCTACACTAATATGCATAATATCAAACTGTCCTTTATAATTATAATATAATGACTGATATAAATTTTGAGTTTTCCAGAATGAGTACTTTGTAAAAAAATGTCATCAATGGAATCCCATAAT